CCACCGATGGGAGAGGGATTGAGCCTGCGACCGAGGCAAATGCTCTTGTCCAAAATCAAACCTGGGACCCTCCGGTCTGTGGGCTGACGCTCTATCCACTGAGCTAAACTGGCCAGGGTTGTATGATTGCTTTTATATGAAATATCCAGAATAGGCAAATCTCTAGAGACAGAACGACTATGTGTTTGTCAGGGGCTTGGGGTGGGTAGTGATGGGGGGGTGTTCTGCAGGGGGTTGTCGGAAAGCTTTGAGGGGTGGTGCTTGCACAGCACTGTGAGTACACTAAATCCTACTGACCTGACCACTTTGGATGGCTATTTTCACGTTACGTGAATTTTACCTCAATTTAAAAAAAGAAAGTATGACAGCAAAGGCTTAGCTACCGTGGGGATTCGTGGGGCACTGTGGCCCACCCTCCCGAGCAGCGGTCGCCAGCCTTTCGGGCCTCACGGACCACCGCTTGGCGACCCTGCTCCAGAGTGCCGGTTCCGAGTTCCTAAGAAGGCGAGTGACACATCCGTGGGCGAAGGTTACACAGGACCTTTCTCTACTATTTTTGCAGCTTGCTTTGAGTGTAAAATTATTTCAAATTAAAAGTTTAAAGGAGAAACAAGGACACACGATCATGCCTGCCCCATGCCTCGCACTCAGACTGGCCACCCTCGCTGAGTCCTGACTCACCCCGACTGGCCGCCTCAGGCTGCCACCTGCGTCTGCTCTGGGCTGGCAGCCGTGGGCCGGGAGGGGCCCTTCCTCTCAGAGGGGATGGCTGGGGGCCTCGCAGACACCCAGAGATGCCAGGCTCCACCCAGGGCTGGGATTGGGCCCTCGGCTGAGACCACATAACCTCCTAAGTGCCCACGGCCTCTGGGCCGGGACTGGCTCGGACCTCCGGGTCTCTGAGTCCCTGGATGGTGGACAGCCAGCAGGCTGGCCAGTCCCCAGGACAAGGAATTCCCATCAGCCTTCTGTGGGCAGGAGCCCATCAGGCAGGCCCCTGAGCTCCCAGAGGTTTGGGAGGTGTGGGTCGTCTTGAGACCCTAGGAGCGCACTGCATCCAGCCCCGACGGGCCCCCCCCATGGCTGCACTTCCTGCTCGGAGATCAGGTGCTCCGCCCACCTTGCCCATTGCCCAGGGCTGTGCCCGGGGCCCTAGGCTTATCTCTGCCTGGCTAGGCTGCCCAGCACCACCGGGGGCAGGACCAGGAACCAGACCAGCCTCCAGTTTCACTTTCATTTTCGCTTTCCCTGTAATGACAGAGGAGCGAGGAAAGCTGTGCCCGCAGCTTCTGGCACTGCCTGAGCCTCAGCACCTGCTGCACAGGCCCCAGCCGGGCACCGGCCTCTCCTGGCACCTGTGGGCAGGGCGGCTGCCGTCGGCCCGGTCTCGGGATGGAGGTCCCCGACGCCCCCAAGCTGCTGGATGAGGAGCTGTACTCCCGGCAGCTGTGAGGCCCGAGGTGGGGAGGGAGGGGTGGCCTCTGACCTCTGAGCTCCAATTCACTGCCCCTTCCTTCCCGCCCGCAGGTATGTGCTGGGCCTGCCGGCCATGCGGAGGCTGCAGGAGGGTAAGGTCCTGCTGTCCGGCCTTCAGGGCCTGGGCGCCGAGGTGGCCAAGAACCTGGTCCTGATGGGTGTGGGCAGCCTCACTCTGCACGACCCGCAGCCCACCTGCTGGGCGGACCTGGCTGCCCAGGTGAGGTCCCAGGAAGCCTCCCAGACTGGGCGGGGGTTTGGCGGGGGTCGGGCCGGTGCAGGGCCGGCTGAGTCTCCTGGGGGTCTCCTGGCTCAGGCTGCACTGGGTTTCTCTCCAGTTCTTCCTCTCGGAGCGGGACTTGGCAAAGGGCAGGGCTGAGGCATCTCAAGAGCGAGTGGCCAAGCTCAACGGAGCCGTGCAGGTCTGCGTCCACACAGGCGACATCACCGAGGACCTGCTGCGGGACTTCCAGGTGCGTCCCCCCGCCCCCGGACGGCCAGGCCGGGCCCCAGCCCTCAGCCCCCACTGACCCCGAGGTCCGCCAGGTGGTGGTGCTGACGGCCTCTGACCTAGAGGAGCAGCTGGCGGTGGGCCGCTGGTGCCGCAAGCACGGAGTCTGCTTTCTGGTGGCCGACACCCGGGGCCTGGTGGGGTGAGTGAGGCTGCCCACTTGCTGTCTCCCGCCCCCCCTGATTCTGGTCTCCAGGCCCCTCTGTGTCCTCCACCCCAGCCTCCAGACCTGCTCCAGTGACGCCCCCAAACTCCCGCCCAAGCCGCTCCCAGCATCCTTTCCTGATTCTGGCCCCTAGAGTCCCCGGCCTTCGCCGCCATCGTGGTGGCTAACCATTGAGCCACCCCAGTTACCCCGTGACCTCTGCCACCCGCCACCCCAGGCAGTTGTTCTGTGACTTTGGGGAGGACTTCACAGTTCAGGACCAAACAGAGGAGGAGCCCCTGACAGCTGCCACCCCAGCACATCTCCCAGGTGGGCGCTGGGTAGTGGGCGCTGGGTGGGCAGAGGGGTGCCAGGCCCACAGAATGCAGGTCCAGGCACCTCTGAACTGTGCCCTCTCCCCAGGGCTCCCCGGGCGTTCTCACTCTGAGAAACGCGGCCGAGGCCCACTACTTCCGCCAGGTGGGCTCGGTGACTTTCTCGGGGATTGAGGGCATGACCGAGCTCAACGGCTGTGCCCCCCGGTCCATCCGCGTGCAGGGTAAGCCGACCCCCTCCAGGTCCAGCCTGAGCACCCACACACCCCGTGGGGATGGACACAGTCTGGTCCTCCCTCTGCCTTCCTCAGGCTGGGGCTACGTCAATGGCACGGATGCAAGATAGGATGGGGGTGTGGGGAGGGACTCAGGTTCAGGGGTCACACTCACCAGGCTGGATATCCATCCCCAGAGGACGGGACCTTGGAGATTGGGGACACAGCGACTTTCTCCTGTTACGTCCGTGGCGGAGCTGTCACTGAGGTCAAGAGACCCACGACTGTGAGCCATGTGAGTGCGGACATCTGAAGTGGGGGAGCTTGGGAGGCTCCAGGGGCCCCCAGGGTTCTGGGCCTGACCCCGAGCCTCATGCCCCCGCAGGCGCCCCTGGACGCAGCCCTGC